GCGTGCCACTGGCTGCAAAACACCTGGGTCCCCTCTCCTGTGGCTGCTCTTGGAGCTCCCTCCCTGTGGGGGAAGAGGGAAGGGGAGCTTGGTGGCAGTGCAGTGTGTGCTCCCCACTCCCTGCCAGCCTCACCCTGCCTGGAGGGGCGGGGGGATCCAGCACTGAAAGACCCTCATGCCTGGGCAGGAGCTCCCTTTTGGGGCATGGGAGTGAGGTCAGCTGCTGGCTGTGTGGATGAGCATCAGGTGGCTTCTTTGCAGTGCTGGTGCTCAGCTGCATCTTGCTCCTGCCTTGTCCTGCTGTGGGGGGGTGTTGGTGGCAGGCATGGTGCACTGAGTGCCATGTGCCGCAGCAGTGGGGAGTGGCTCCCCGGAGCGGCCAGACTCCTCTGCATCTCTTGGGAGCCAGGCCATGTGCCAAGCGGCACATTTCCCCATCGGGACATGCTGGAAGCCAGCCTCACAGCCCACTGCAACCATCTGCAGTGGTGCTGTGCGGGTGGCTGCACAGCAGCACCCGGAGGGTATGTGGCTCTGGAGGTGGCTGCCACTGGGAGCTGGTGGTTTTGGCGAGTCCTGTACCAGTGGCGGCAGGGGAAGTGGTGCAGTGTAAGGAGCAGAACCTGCTACCATCCTCCGTTGTAACTTCCCCTGCCTGCTTGGGGGCAGGGGGCTGCCTGCACCTGATTTGGGTGCTCAGAAGGTGGCTGAACAGTCCCCAGGGCAGATGTGAGCCAGAGGATGCTACCTCATCTTGGACCCTGGTTGTGTGCCCCCAGTGCCCTGGCACAGCAGGGGTGACAGCAGTGGTCAGGTCCCTCTGTCTAAGTGCCAAGTCCCTTCCCATCCCCTTCTCCTGGAAATCGCTGGATTCCTCTGCCTGGACAGGGGAAGGATTAGATTGCCAGTGACTACAGAAGTAAGGTGGGAATCCAGAACTTTATGTGGTTCTGGGGGTGTTAAATGTCACCTTGTTGCACAGGGGACTAGTTGTGCTTTCTTGCAGCTTCCATGTGCTTGCTGGGGCTCGTTCCCAGTGCTGCTGGGTCTGTGGATGAACCCTTCCTCACCAGGCGGGGATTGCAGGACCACAGCTCTGCCCCGTGCCTGAGCAGGGAGCAGTGAGGTTGATCCCTGAAGCCTGGGGATCTCTTGATGCCCCACGAAGCCCATGTTCCCTGAGCAGCAGTGCCGCTTGTGTATATCCCCAGGCATCCCCAGGCAGAAGAGTTTGAGCCCCGTCCTGGGTAGAAATCTTTGTTCCAGCCATGATGCTCTGAAACAACGGCAGTGGCTTGCTCTGCTGGCAGCTCGTGTGTCCTGGGCTGCTGCAGGGTAGCTGGGGTGATGGGGTGCTGTGCTGGATCAGTGCAGCAGAGAACTGGGTGGCCTGAAACTGGACTCTGGGTGCTCACTGCACCTATGCAGCACTGGCGTAAGGGGCCTGGGGAGCTCCTGGGTGATTTGCTCTCCCAGTAATCTGTTGTGGTATGAACTTGCCCTCTAGTGGCTGCAGGCCCAAATCGGTTTTTCTCTGCCTCTGGGCCTGGCTTCTGCCTCCACGGAGGTTATGCATAGATCAGGATCCAGCCTCCGAGCCAAAGCGAAACCCAGTGGGTGGGTGGGAAAGGACTGGAATAGCTGTTGAGGCTGCCTTCTCCTGCGGAGCAGCCGCCTGCTTTCTGAGCAGGCCTAGGGACACATGGACAGTGGCCCCCTGCAGCTACAGACTCCATCTGGACCCTGCGTGGGGAGCAGGAAGGTGCCCCGACACTGCTCTGCTGCCCGGCTCCCAGCCCTTGATGGGACCCTGCCCAGTGGGCTCTAGCAGGGTAGTGGTGACTAGATTCTGTGTGTGCTTCAGCCGCCTTCTGGTGGGCTGGAGCGGGCACAGCAAAACCCCCCAGGTCTAGGGCTCCTGCTGATGCCTGCTGTCTTCTCTCCTAGGAGTTATGAAGACATGCTGGTGGATGAAGTGGCCCCTGACCGGTACTACTGGGCCCCCCTGGCTCAGCATGAGCGGGGCAGCTTGGCTAGTCTGGACAGCTTGCGGAAGGGAGGGCCAGCCCCGAGCAACTGGCGTCAGCCAGATCTGCCAGAGGTCATCGCCATGCTGAGCTTCCGGCTGGATGCTGTCAAGTCCAACGCAGCTGCCTACCTGCAGCATCTCTGCTATCGTAATGACAAGGTGAAGACAGAGGTGCGCAAGCTGAAGGGCATTCCCGTGCTCGTGGGATTACTGGACCACCCCAAGAAAGAGGTGCACTATGGTGCCTGTGGAGCCCTCAAGAACATCTCCTTTGGCAAGGACCAAGACAATAAGATTGCCATCAAGAACTGTGATGGTGTACCTGCTCTGGTGCGCCTGTTGCGGAAGGCCCATGACATGGACCTCACGGAGGTCATCACAGGTAATGGCTCCAGGGAGGAGAGTAGGGGCTAATCCATGGGGTGAGGGATGCACAGTGCAGGTTTTTAAGCCCATATGGTCTGATTGATCACCTCCTGCTTGTGGCATTGCAGGAACACTATGGAACCTGTCCTCACACGACTCCATCAAGATGGCCATTGTGGATCATGCACTACATGCCCTGACTGATGAGGTGGTCATTCCCCGCTCAGGCTGGGAACGGGAACCCAATGAGGACTCAAAACCCCGCCATATCGAGTGGGAGTCGGTGCTCACCAACACCGCTGGTTGCCTTAGGTATGGGAGAGGGGGGGCTACCAACTGCTGGCAGAAAGCTGGTATGGGTTGGGGCTTCTCTAAGGCTCCTGCTAGCTTTCTGGGAGTGCCGAAGGAGGAGCTGCCCTCCTAGGACAGCTGCTGGTGACGCAGTCCTTGATTCTGGAGGTGTTTCTCTCAGTGGAGGGGAGCTACAGGAGTCTTTCTCTGATTTGAACTCTGCTGGATGTGGGCTGTTCCTCACCTGTTCTCGGCTGTCTCTTCCATGACTGTTCTCTCCTGCCTGCCAGGAATGTGAGCTCAGAGCGGAGCGAGGCCCGTCGGAAGCTGCGGGAATGTGACGGGCTGGTGGATGCCCTGATCTACATCGTCCAGTCTGAGATTGGCCAGAAGGACTCTGACAGCAAGGTACCGCAGCAGGAGTGGTGTCGGGGCACGTGTGGAGCTCTGCTCTTGTCAACCAGCTCTAGTGGTGCTCTGCTGTTTATGGTGGCTGAAGCTGGGTTCGTCCCAAGACAGATGAAGAATGGACAGGGGGAATCTTCACCAGGGAGGGATTTGGTCTGACAGGACCACCTTGGGAAAACCCAGTCCAGGCTCATGCCTTTCCATGATCTCTGCTTGGGAAGAGAGAGCCTGTGTGGGGACCTGGGTACTGTTTGACCGGGAGGTGTCTGGCACTCAGCCTGCAGGAGTAGTTCCTGTGCAGTAGGAACGTTGATCCTCCAGCAGGGGTCTGTGGTGTCTCTCATCGCCACGTGGGTACCCCCTGGCTCAGGGCTCCTTGATCTGCCTTGAGGAGGTGTTGGCTTGAATTTTCTGTGAAGCTTTCCTTTGTCCTTTGGTGCTTATGGCAGAGAGATTTTTTTGGCCCAGCAGAGCATGAACTCATGCCAGCAGAGCTGGCTGTGCCTGCTTTGGGATGGGGTTATGCTCCAGCTCCACCTGAGATGGAGCTACACGCCCCCCTTGTCCCAATTCAGCCTCCTCCTTGGCCTGGCTCTGGGTTGCAAGCTGGGGTGGGGCCCCCACTCGGAGACAGGGGATGCACATGTGCTGCTCCAAGTCCAATGGCCTGTCTTCCTCTCTAGCTGGTGGAGAACTGTGTGTGCCTGCTGAGAAACCTGTCCTATCAAGTCCACCGTGAGATCCCCAATGCTGAGCGCTACCAGGAGGCACCGCTGGCCCCTGCCAACAATGCTGGGCCCCATGCTGCAAGCTGCTTTGGTGCCAAGAAGGGCAAAGGTTTGTTGGGTGGCAGCAGCATGGAGGGAGGTGGGATGAAGACATATCTTCTACAGTGGAGCTTGGGGGTGATCTGGGGTCTCTGTGCTCCTACTCTGGCATCTCTTGGGCGAAGGCTAAACTGCAGCTTTCTCTGGAGACGCAGTGGTCCGTGCCTCCCCTGGCTTCGGGAGCTACTGCTTGGCTTACCCAAAACATTTGACACAAGCTAATGGTGGGTTTCTGTGGTGGTGGGATGGTGATGGATAGATGTCCACTAACTCCACGCCTCCCCTTTTCTCCTGTGTTGCCCCGTCCCCTTCCCTTTGCTTTCTTGCCAAATGATCTGCCCCATGATGCTGTCGGCACTTCTCTTCTGCCTCCCCTCTCTCCTGTCCTTCTCTCCGCTTCGCCAATAGACGAGTGGTTCTCCAGAGGTGAGTGTGCTCTTGGTTTTAATTTTTCCATGGTTTGATTGGGTGCCTTCTCTAGCCCTCTTTGTTTCCCCCTGCCAGCTGGGCACATACTGCCTGCAGTGTGGCTAATGCCCTTGATGTCCCCTCCTGGGACATACTGGTAGCTTAGCTTCAGCTCACCTCTGGGCCTGTTCTTGTAGCAAGCAGCAAAGAGCTGTTGGGCTGAGATGGGTGGGGAGAGGAGGTGTCTTATGCCTCTCTGCTTGCCCTTTGAAGGTAAAAAGCTCCCAGAAGACCCTGGTGCCGATACAGTGGATTTTCCCAAAAGAACAACTCCGGCCAAAGGTAGGTTCCTTGGTGTGTTTGTGCAGGGCTGGGGTGTGCAAGGCTGCTTCTCCACAAGCAGTCCAGGAGAGGAGGGAGTAGAGCTGACGACCTATTGAAGTGAGCCTCAAATGGGCAGAGCTTTGATTTGCAAGAGGTGCGTTTCTGGTTGTCCAAGTGCCTGTTAGAACGCTAGCTCTGCCACAGATGGTCGTGAGGATGTTGTGCTTGGAGGAGGTCTGTGCTGCCTCAGGGCAGGCTTCCTGGGGCTGCAGAGGGACCTCAGCCCTCAGGACCAAGGGACAGTGTGTTGACGCAGCCTGAGGAAGGGTAGCCCTCTATGGCGGTCGTGGACTTCTCAGCACAATTGCCCTCTTGTGAGCAGCTCAGGTATACAGTGGTGGCTCCTCCAGGCTGACGTGAACTGTGGGAAGAGTCAGCACCTATCTCTGGTGGAAGCCCCAGAAGCCACCTGCTCTGTCTCTGGGGGCTGGGGACATCCCTCACCACAGCTGGGGACAGAGCAAGATGGAAAACCTGGCCTTGTAGCTGTAAACTGCAATCTCACCGCTGCTCTGGAAGTCACTTCTGGGCATGTGTCCATGGAAAAGAGCTGGTACTCAAAGGCCTGATCCCTGCCCACTTGCTAGGGCAGCAGAGAGCTGGAGACCTGGTACCCTCAGTCTCTGAGGATGAGCTGAACCCAGGCTTCTTCACTGTGGTGTTGGTGGCCAATTGCTTGGGGTGTTTCCCCTTCCTCCTGCTGAGAGGAGGACCGAGCCTTTTGCTACCACTGTGCCCGGCTCCCAGGTTTGCTGCCCCACCATGTCTTCGCCTGGGTTGGGTACAGCCAGGTGTTGTACTGAAATTGAGGTCTCCTTGCTGATGGCAGCAGTGCTGCGGCTCATCCCAAACCTCTGATGAGCTGCAGCGGTGCGTTGGGGACCGTGGGCCCCCTCTGTACCAAGGATCCAGCCTCCAGGGATCGGTGGGCCTGGGTAAAAGCTTCCAGCCTAGTCTGTCCATCAGTGCTCCTTTGAATGAATCCAGTGGTAGCAGAGCCCTTGAGTAAGTCCTTCGTCCCTGTGTTCTCCTGGCAGGCTATGAGCTCCTTTTCCAGCCAGAAGTGGTCCGGATATACATCTCCCTTCTAAAGGAAAGGCTGGACAGTAAGTGCCTTGTGGAGCTGGCTGTGTCCCCGTTCACCTGTGGTGCAGGGAAGGGGCCCTTGGGTAGCAGGGAGCATCACCCTTGGGGGTGCCAGCAGAGCTGCAGGTGGCTCTGCTGTCCTGGGCTGTCTGCTTTGCGCATGGCTCGCTGCCTGAGAAGATGCCGTTCAGGTGCAGACCAGGTCTCCCCTGTGCTGTTGAGGGTTCTGTGCTCCCTGTCAGTGGTGCCTTCCAAAGGGCAGCCTGTCTGTCCTTGCTTGCAGCCGGGTCCCTGCCATTCCTTCCCTTCTGTAGGCTGGGGGTAGGCAAGGGATGAAGGCTTGGGGCTGCTCTACAGCCCCCTGACCTGTTTTCTTGGTGCATGTGGAAAGACCACCTGGGAAGTCTCACTTGTCTGGCCTGCAGGGGGGCTTTGGGACAGGAACGGGACCTTTGCAGTCTGTTTGGCTGTGGGTGAAGCCAGAACCCTCCGTTCCCGAGATGAGGATGGGTGGCAAGGCTCCCAGTGGTATCCCCGGGATTGGGGAGAGACCCTGCCTGCCCAGGTTACACTGCCTCTTCCCTGCAGTACGGCCGGTGCATCCGCTCAGCGCTGCGCCAGGAGAAGGGACTCTCCGCCATTGCCGACCTCCTGACCCACGACAGCGAGCGAGTGGTGAAAGCGGCGTCTGGAGCCCTGCGCAACCTGGCTGTCGACTTGCGTAACAAAGAGCTGATAGGTGAGGGCTGCAGAGGAGAGGACATCATGCTCTCTGTGTCCATCCAGGCTAGGTGGGAACTTCCTCCTGATCCCGGCAGCGGAGGAAGTGCGTGGGCATGGCATCAGCCCAGTGTCTGTCTACTGCCCCTCTCCCAGAGTAGCATGTGCTGAGCCCCACTGAGAGGGACATCAACATTGGTCACCAGTCCCTCATCCTTCTGCAGTGATTTCCACACACCCACCTCCCCATGCAGTCCTCTTCCTTGCTTGCTCATGCCCAGCTCTTTCCCCTTTCCAGGTAAACATGCCATCCCCAACCTAGTGAAGAACCTGCCTGGGGGCCAGCAGACCCCAGCCAAAAACCTCTCTGAGGACACAGTGGTGTCCATCCTCAACACCATCAATGAAGTAATTGTAGAGAACCTTGAAGCTGCCAAGAAGCTGCGGGAAACACAGGGAATTGAGAAGTTGGTGCTGATCAACAAATCTGGGTAGGCTCTGCTTGAGGGATAAGGCAAGGGTCAGAGAGGGGCTTCTCCAGGAGCTTTGTTGAGGCCATGGGTGTTTCCAAACGTCTCTTCCTTGACTGCTTTCTAGGAACCGCTCAGAGAGAGAAGTTCGAGCAGCTGCCCTCGTCTTGCAGACAGTCTGGGGATATAAAGAGCTGCGGAAGCCCCTGGAGAAGGAAGGCTGGAAGAAATCAGATTTCCAGGTATGGGGATGGGGCAATGGGGATGCCCTGTTGTGGCTGGGGCAGTAGGTGGGGTCCTGCAACAGGGAGAAGGATGTTTCTGGAGCTCAGCAGTACTGGACTCCAGCTCTTGCCTTGCTGGGTGGGATTGGAGATCCTTGAAGGTGTCCCCTCTGCTGAAAGCATTCTGTAAGGCTTTAAGCCCTGCAGATCTGCAGGCAGGGAAGTTTGCAGCACTAAAAGCCACTGTGGCAGCACTGAAGAAGTTCCTCCAGGACTCTGTTTCTTTCCCAAAAGCTGGACTGTCCTTGCTGCTTAAGGCCTGGGTGCTGCCCCAGCCCAGTCCTGGC